ACATGGCGACAACAACTTGGGCCCTAAAACATGTTTTATTTGTGATTGACTACAAAGTTCTCACAATGCATGGTGAGGGAAAACAAAAGTCATTAGGATCCTTACACGCCACAGTCAGTTGAACAACGGTTGAGCGAAAACGCTTAACCTGATTTCTAAAATCGTCAATGAAAAATTCACTTGTTCGAATTAATTTTTACGATAACTGTCTTATTTCTCGCGCGCTGATTGGCTTATTTTTAACATCAATAAGAGTACAGACGCATTAAATTTTCATTTAGGGAAGCTTTCAAGTTCAACTTTCAGCTTTCAAACTGTCAACTTTTTAACCAATGAGATTTTATATACTTTTTTAAGCAGCCAATCAAAAAGCAAGCTGTTGACAATGTTCGCGTCATTTTGAATAAAATTCACTTATCTTTGTTTACGGCAAGTTTACGGCGTCTTTTCCCCTCATTTATTCCCAGCATTTAACCATTTTGGGGTCTTGTTATTGCAAAAAAACAAATTGACGTCAGTTTTTTATGCGTCTGTCCTCTTATTGATGATAAATTGCGTCATAGCATTGTCAAAGTTTCCTGCGGCTCGTGGTTCCGGAGCCACTTTGACAATGTTATGACGCAATTTATCATCAATAAGAGGACAGACGCGCAAAAACTGACGTCTATTTCTTAAATAATGAAAATGTAGGCAGACAAAGTCAAAAATACTCAGTGAAAATGTAGACAAACAAAGTCAAAATACCCACGTTTAAGTAAACATATTAGCTTGGCAAAAGTCAAAGGTTTGAGGGAGAGTTTGGATTGTTCAGAATAATCTTTACATTGCCGAAACAAAAGGAACTCGCACTAAACTCGACGGAAATTTTGCAACTAAAATGTAATTGCACACGTTATCTTATATACGTACGGCCGTGCGTACATAGAGATTTCGTTCATGAAGGCTCTATAGGAATTAGATAAGACTAGCGCGCGCGCTAGAATCCTTGCCATATTTTGGCCGTACACCACCTCCAACCGAGAACTCTATAAAAGAGCTAGAGAGGGTCCCATCTCAGAACCTTTGAAGGTCAGACGATGGAGATGGATCGGTCACGTTTTGAGGAGAGAGAAAGATAACAACTGCAGAGTTGCGCTCACCTGAACCCCTGAAGGCAAGAAAAGGCCCGGCAGACCAAAGATCACTTGGAGGAGAGCCATTGAAGCCGAACGGAAAGATCTGGGATGGACAAGCTGGAATGGGGTTGAGCGGGAAGCTCAGGACTGTGATGGATGGCACTTGTTGTTGCGTGGCCTTATGCTCCACTCACGAAAGGGCGAAGCGGGTGAGTGAGTGAGTGAGTGAGTGAGCGCGCGCGCTATGTTATAAAAAGTTTTATAACATAGCTCGCGCGCTAGTCCTATCTAATTAATAATTAGATTATGAGCTCGAGATTTCTATGAGGTGATAGTTGATTTGGCCTTCGGCCTCATCAACTATCACCACATAGAAATCGAGAGCGAATAATCTAATTGTTTTGGTAGAATTGTTACTAAAATTTACTTTAAATAACGGTTTCCAGTTATTTCTTGACGTATCATTAAGCTTTGCGCCTGAAAAAGGTGACTCAATCTCGTTCCCAGAGTCTTCGATCCCCTTGACCAGCAGTCGGAAAACGAGAGCTCTGGGAGCAGCCATTTCAGGCATGCGCCATAGATGCAGACTGCGCAGGGAAACCAGATAGGCAGAATCACCAGAATTCTGTTATTTCAAAATGGTTGCTCCCAGAGCTCTCGTTTTCCGACCACTGGTCAAGGGGAACGAAGACTCTGGGAACGAGATTGAAGGTGACTCGGATTGGATTGTCATTTAAAATTGAAGTTGTATGCGCGCGCACATCAATAATTTCAACTTTTTTAAATGTCAAAAAACCTTAAATGTCTTTTATTTTGACTTCACAGGAATTTAATCATGCATTCGCATCAAGATGTTCCTTCAAAACTTTGAAAAAACGAGAGAAACGTCGCCATTTTCACTGCACACCAATGGCTGAAAGTGTTCAATGGCTCAGCCAATCAGATTACAACATTGCATTAGTATACTAGTAGGATTCTACTAATTCCTATTAGTAGAATTCTACTTGAACACTAATGCAAATGCTGCAATCTGATTGGCTGAGCCGTTGCACACCATCAGCCATTAGTGTTCAGTGGGTTGGTGTGGTCGATAAAATTTCAACGAAAAATTGTTTCGGGAATTCAATGTTTCCCAAATTTCAAAGGCAACTTGATCGATCATGACAGCCATCGGGAGCGTATAAAGGACTCGCAAAAAAAAAGCAAATCTACCCAGAATTTATGTAAAAGTCCTAGAGTAAGCCTAGGAGGTTGTCCTAAACGAAAACAACAATAACAACAACATCCTCTTTATTACCCTTTTTTCATTAAAACAACAACTACAGGTGTAAATGATGTTTTAGCAGCAAACAAAACAAAACGCCTGATCGGATCCCGCTCGCCCGCGCGGGCACACGAAGCAGTGCAAGCAGTGCATGGGCAACTGCTGATCTTATAAAGTCTGGATTTTTGAATGCGTGTCCACGCGCGTGGGAATAACGGAACTCGCGAAGGCTTTCACATGAAACAAGCCCGGTGACCCCTTCATTTTATTGTTTTAATATAATATCATTATTGAGAGGAAACGTCAGAAAAAAAAATAAAAAATCTACAGAAGGAAATTTGCACTTTGTGCAAATTGCCGTTTTTCCAAGTTCACAAGAAATCGGCTCCGTAAAATTATTTTAAAAT